TAAGGCGATGTGCAAGTACCCAGACGCATCTGTTTCAGATGTATCTGGTTGACTCCATCGACAAACGGAATTGCATAGATATTTTGTTTCCATATCCAGATTCATCTGGTTCAATACGTGAGGTGTTGTGTATAGAGTCAGATAGATCTGTTGTCACACTCAATGCAGTGCACAGATGCAGATGCATCTGCTGGCAAACGTGTTGTGCATACGGTGTGTAGCAGCCAGATGTATCTGGTTGACTGTACCTTTGATGTGTGGTGGAGATGGTCAGATATGTCTGGTTGTCCAAGTACATATGCAGATGGATCTGATATTGTACTTGATATGTTGTGTACAGATGCAGATGTATCTGCTTATGAGCATATGTATACGCTACACTGGATCAGCAGAATCAGATGCATCTGATTCTCTTTTGCCCGTGAAGGCTGAAATATTTCAACTAAACGTGAAACCTTGATATTGCATACTTTGATGGCTCAAATTGGGTATGTGGGCGAATTAAAGGATGGAGAACAGGTTTCCAAAACTGAGACTTGGTTGTGTGCCTTTGAGGCTTCCATCTGGCTCACCTGCGGACATCTGCCAGGTGTTTTCGGCATCTAGCCGATCGTACAGTACACGTTTATTTTCGGCTAAGTACCGAAGGATCTGTACTCCTCAGGTGAGAATTATTACGCTACTGACAATCACATTGCTAGACTCATCAGGAGGATAAGCATGGCCCAAACAGTTGTGAGAAACCAAAAGTACAAAACTCACATCCAGACTCCAAGAGGTCATTGCACGCATCAAGCTTGAGTGATAATGAAGCCTAATGAAGCATCTCACCGTTCATGTTCATCACAGTTGATCAAAGACTGGCTGATTGACTTTTGGGTCATCCAGTCCTGGAACATCTTGCTTTGTTTGCCCGGGTCACCTTGCTCAGACTAATTTTGAGACTTGCTACTGCTGACTTACTCATCCTGACTTAAACTTTATCTGTAATTTTTTGATAGACCCGTGGGTAAGAGTGTAACATGATTTGGGATGATTGATGCACAAGATACACAGGATCTTTTGATAGATTTCAATTTCCAGTAGCTTTGGAGTTTGCCCTGAAAATAAACAAATTGCAGGGGCAAATGTTGGAGAGTGTTTGTCTGATTCTTCCCACTCCCATCTTTGCGCACAGAAAACTATATGTTGGTTTGTCTTGGTGCACATCCGCCGCTGAAACACTGGTAGTAGTAACAGAAGCAGAGTGCAAGATGTGTACTACAAATGTAGTTTACAAACCATTGTTACTGTAAGCATGGGCAGGCAAGATGTTATGTTGTCTCTATTTGTCATGTAGTTGTAATTGATTGTGAATAGCACTATGTAATAATACCTGCCATGATGTGGTGTACAAGACTTGATTGCACCCAAGACATGCGTTGAGGCATGGACCTCTTGGCATGCTTTATGACACTGTGGGAGAGGGCAACCAGGCAGGTGGTGAAGATAATACCTGCTGAGTCAGCCAAGAATCAAGAACATGGTGGAATTGAATGGATCAACAATATGATGTGCACACTGCCAATGGAGCCATTGGATGTGAACAATATAGTCAGCTTGAGGGGAAGGGCCGTAGGGTTCACTGCTGCTCAAGGCACCTGGGAAGTAAAGGTACACCCGGGTGTCTTTGGAGTCAAGTGCTGGTGGGCACTGAGCTGACATGTCATTCCGTAGGTGTCCAGAGTCAGGTTGGTCCAAGACAGACCTAGAGTATGCAGGAGGCGTAGGGAGCAAGGTCTGTTCTCAACTAGGTGCAGTGGCACAAACAGGAGGAATTGTTGTACAACCTGAAGGAAGGTGATCCTGTGCGGAAGTGACGTTGGCTTCAGGGGACTTGACTTGCTCTGACTGGAGTGTGCGTTGAATTGTGAATTGGGGATAGTGTACTCAATTGTAGATAGGATTTGCACCAATGTCATTATGAACGTGCACCAAGTGTCTGGGTCTGAGTGACAACAAGGAGTGCCTAAGGGGCGGCGCAGCCGCCCAAGACCTCGTATAAATAAAAGAGAGAATTCAACAAGATGAAATAAGAAGGATAAGGCAAAAGCAAGTCAATAAAAAGGATTGAATTTGAAAAAGACCAAACTTACCTGTAATTCTGATATGACAGATGAACACATTCCAAGATATGCCTTGTGAGCAAATTGGGCTAGCCAAGTGTTGAAGTTTTCATATCAATTCTGTAACAATTATACATAACTGACACTTAACATTATTTTATTATTTCATTCTCATTTTCATTCATCTTAGCATATGTAACGCTATCTGTTTGTTTAGGTTTCAAATCTGTTTTATCACTTTTATTAAACTATGTACCATTTCAGAAGAGTTGTGATAAACCTCAAAGAGAAGCGATCTTGAGACTCCCTTCCTCATCCAAGATATTCTTCATACTTCTTGGGTGAAAGGTGAGTTAAACTCTGATCGTGGGATTTGATATAGTTCATAGAGTTCTGTTCTGAACTTTATCTACCCTGCTCTGACAGGTGAGTTAAACTCTGATTGTGGGATTTGATATACAGTCACCTCTGTGAAAACCAATACCCAAAGAATTGGGTCCAAAGCTATTGGTTTTCACCGAGTATCTGTTTTCTCAGAGCAAAATTCACTAAAAATGAAGATTTATTTGCTCAAAAAAGTATTGGTTTTGCATGATTATTGGTTTTGTCATGTATCGGTTCTCGCAGAGGCGACTGTAGTTCATAGAGTTCTGTTCTGAACTTTATCTACCCTGCTCTGACAGATTTGTAACACCAAGTCTGGCCAAAGAGCTGAGCCGCAGGATTCATGTATCAAAAGAAGGCACAAAGAGTCTCATCTTTGATTCTTAACCAAGGCTGAGAAGGTCTCACAGCCCAATAACCTACCATTTGCTTCAACATCAAGTTTGAGAACAAAGATGCACCTTTTTGAACATAATGATCAAGAGAAGCCTGGCTGGTTTCTGCAGCCCCTTCTTGTTGTTCATGTCGTTGTTTGCGTTTGTCAGCAATATTCAGGGGAAGGTTACAACCAGCAGCAATTACTGAATCCCTTTGCTTGCAGCCTGATTGTCCCAATTTGCCAGGCTGTTTAAAACCTTCTCTGGGCCAACATGTTGGCTGGTGAGCCAACACCGCAAGCGCTACGCAACACAATGGATTTTGACCTGTTTCCATTGTGTTGCGTATTCAGTGCAATATCCCGCTCCGCAACCACTTCACAATGCGGATGTTTTTTTTGATTTCAAGGTTGCGGAGCGGTAGGGCAAATTGTGGAAAGTGCACAATATTTGCCCTAAATGACTGTCCAAAACCAATGGCAATTGTGGTGCGGGTTTCTGAGCAACGGGTTTTTTGAACCCGGGTTGCGGTGCTCTGGCACCGCAATGTATAGCATTGCTATTGCGGCGCCAAAAAGCACTACGCAACCGCACCGCAAGCACAATATAGTGTGGTGCGCTTGCGGTATTGGGTGAGCTTCCACCTCCACGGACCTCCTTGCCACAATATTTCCAGCTGTACAAATTGAAGGGTCCTTTGTTTGGCTAGATAAGCAAGACTCACATGAGTTCTTTGAATCTGAAAGAGAGAGATGTTCAAAGAAAAGAATAGAAAAACTCACATCATTTACACCCAGATAAGCTGGTCCAAAGTAATCCTTGATGTAGTCATAGACCTTCTTTGGCTCATCCTCTTTTTTCTTTCCTGGTTTGACCTTGATTTCTTCATGCTCAGAGTCTTGAGCTAAGTCCAACTTGATTCCTGTTTTCTTAGGAGACTTTGGCAAGGAATCTGTCTATGATAATACCAACAACATCAGTAAAGATTCAAAGATAAACTTAAAGGATAGTACAAAATGTTTCCTGACTTTGAACGTCTTTGAGCGTCACCATGGTCTTCTCTGGTTTGAGGGTGCTTTCCCTTCTTCTTCTTTTCAACAACATGGACTGAGACATTGGAGTCAGATAGTATTATAGATCTTTGAGATTCTGTGGGTGGTATAGTCATTCAGGACTAGCAACAAAATGGTGTTACTTGGGTGCTTTGTCAATGTGGGGGGGATCTCCTGCAGCTGATTGTGCTGTAAAGGAGGGTTTGACAGAGGAGACAGGGGTACTTTTTCAATTAGAAACAGAAGATATTCTGGAATGTGGATTATTCTGGTATTTCTAATAAGATGTATTGGGAGGAGCAGATGGGGGTTTTGGTGAAAAGATGGTCAGATCAAGTCTTTCTTGAAGTTATAGCAGATGGTTGATCAAGAAGTTGCTTACTTGGACCTTGAAACTGTCAAGTACAGGGTCCATGATGTCTTCCAGCGCTACGTGGGGTGCTAAAAAAGCTCAAGCCCATGACGTGAAACACCCCATGGAACTTGAATCAAACTTGAAGCGCCACGCAAGGGTGGTGGTGGAGTCAATAGGAGGTTTATGAGGCAATGGAACTCAAGATGAGCTCCAATGTTGGCTTATAAGTCAATACTGGAAATGTACTGACATATACTGGATACTCAACCCAAGCGTAACTGGTAAAGTATTGGCCACACTGGTACTCTACGGGATACAGTATTGGATCCTACAATACTATGTCACAGACCATCCAGTACAGTATGGCCAATACAGATACTGTGAAAAAGGTACAATACAATACTTTACTGTAAAAAAGTAAAGTATAGGTGGCAGTGTTGCCCCCGGGCTGCATGGCGGCAGCTCCAAGTGCAGCGCTCTGCTCCACGCTTCTCTCTGCACGGTGAGTCAGACTTGTTCACAGTATGATAAGAAGGATTCATTTCAATCATCCTCTTGGGGTTCTTTCATTTGATCTATTGGGATCGTATGATGCCCTTTTTGGTGTCAATAAATGTTTGACATTGAAGAGTAGACTGAATATTCTAGAGTAAAATTTGTGGAATGGAAAAATGATGGAAGCTAAGAAATGTGGCTGTTCTTCTGACTCATACACCAACCAACCTGCTCATCCATCTTGTTTTCCGATTGAGGGGATCTGTCTTACAATTGAAAGTGGATTGAAACCTTGCACTAAACCTACTGTAGATTTCAGATGATATCTCCATTTAGCTGATTGCTTTTGAACTGATTTGATGAACTTTTTCAAAGCCTCTTCAACAATTGCTCTGTTTTCATCAGATTCAGTAGCCTTTAAGTAGTACTGTAGGAACTGAACCAGAGCAGGCTTATTCACCAAACAGGAAAACTCTGGAACTTGATCCAGAAATTTCCTCATAATTTGGGAAACCTCATCAAAGTCCTTCACCACCAAGCTTTCTATAGTTCTTTGGATAGGTTTTGTCTTTTCAAGACTTTTAATCATCAGGAATACCTCAACATCTCCAAAGATGGAAAACATAAGTGGTATAAAGATTTCAAGAACCCAAGGAGGTCAACTCACTAATTGACCAGAACCGGATGACCTTTATTTGATCAGTCTTGCACATGTTCTGTGGTACCTCCACTCCATATGGTTTAATCAGCTCCTGTGCAGCAACAAAATCCTTGAGAACACTGTGGGTTGCATATAACCTCAGTCTGAAGTCATGGACAAAATTTGTTGAAAGTAAACATAAAACTCTCCTGTCATTGACATCAGCAAGAGACTTGATGTGATCTTCCACAACCTCAGACCATTCCCTTAACTTGGCGATAGAATTGGTAGAAAACAGATGTGCCACTGGGTGATAGTCACGAGTGGCAAATTTTATAGCCTTCACCTGTTCAATAAATTGGGTCTGCACCAACTGAGTTTCCAAAACAAATTGTAGATGTGGATTCTTCTTCACCTGGAAGTACGGTAACATGCTGTCTTTTTGTGGTCATCCACTCCAGAATTAACAAAACATTCTAAATTAAGATTGTATGGGTGACTCACCAGAAATCCAGAACAGAAAAAGTGATTTCTGATCTTCAGGAGACCAATCACCAGCAAGTGATATGCCAAATCTGACCAGTCCTTTCTGCATTGATACAAAATTGTCAAGCTCTCTGACGGATTCATATTTGTTTTGAAACTATGTTAGCAAAGAATCATTCAAGGACTGCACAGAGATTTACTCACTCCCCAGGTGTAAGCCTCCCTATACACTCTTTGTATTTCTTTTCATACAGTCTCAGTGTTTCTGTAACCCTTGAGGCCTTGGCTTCAACTGGTTGGTCTGATTGGGCACATTCCATCTGGTAAAACTCTAGCAAACGTAGATGAATCAGTTGCACCACATTCAATGGAACCTCTCTCAATGCAATAAACTGGATCAGTATTTGTGAAAGCCGAAGGAACAACTGGGGCTGTTGTATAGCCACATGCCGTCCAGCTAAGTCAAATATCTCCTTCATCCTGTCCTTCCAGCTAGCCTCATCTGATACAATCAGGTCATTCATGCTGGCTATCAACCATACATCTGAAAATAGATCATAGTACAGTCCTTGTCTGTGATTATAACCTGGTAGATACAATCAGCCTGGATGGGATCACCATAATGAATGCAGTATTTTCCTGTAAGAAACCTTTTGGACCACTCACCTTCTCTCCAGAACTTCAAGATTTCATCAGATTGTGATTTTGTAAAGTTAGGATATAGGTTGTGATATGATTGTTTTGTAAACTTTTGCCAGTAATCTTTAGCCTCTCTACCACTAAGATTGACTGATTTAAACAGGATACAAGGGTAAAGATGAGCTCCAAAACCTTTACAAATAATTACCCGTATAGATGTGCTGGCCCACCTTTTGTCTGGCCTAATGTTTGTTGCAAGTGGTATGGTTTTCTTATATCATTGTAGTTGACCGTAATAGCATGGAGATATTGTAGACTTATTGACTGTATCAGAAAACACCAGACATGAATATTCATTTTTTTGGAGAATAGATTGATTATCACTACTGAGTGGATGAATCAATCATAATCTTAATGAATCTGTCTTTGGATTCTAAGGGGGAATGAAAAGAATGAAGAGGATTAAACACCAAGAAATTCAGTGGAATTTGTCAGTGTCAAGGAGTCATATACACCTTTCTCCACATGTTATATACTCCTCTTCCAGTTTCATGTTGTGCAGTACATCTTCTGGAACACGTGGTAGGCACAGTACCCATGCTTCCCTTTTTGCTCTTCCATGAATTTTCCAATTGATATATCATAAGCCTATCTGCTAGTGAAGTTTGATGCTTTGTATCAATGGGTTTCAAATTATTCTAACCAAAAGCACCTTTCCGTCATATGAGTCCCTTCAAATCTGAGCTTTGTTGAATCTACTATGAGATGAAGAGCATCCATCTTTTGCCTCATAATTTGGTACATTCATGACTCAATTTCCTTACATGTTGTCTACAAATATTTGTGGATGTATTGAAAGATATTGGATTGTAGCAACTCAAATTAACACATATAAACACAAAACAACTACAACAATAAAATCAGTACCATAGCATGTACAGTCAAACCTCTGCAATCTGGTCCTCGAAAATCCGATAACCTCTGATATGTGGTCAAATTTTGGTCCACCAAGCTGGGTTTTTAGCAGGGAGTTCAACTCTAAAATCCAATAACCTCTGCTATCCGGTCCAAAAGGCGTCCACCAAGCCCACCGGATTTCAGAGGTTTGACTGTAATGAAAGAAAATTGTTGTAGACAAATGTCAAGTACATACCTAAAACAAGATCAACACAGGTATGAACTCATTGTGTATAAGTAAGTTTTAGGGTTAATGGATTACCCCTACTATTGTCCACAATTGAAAGAAAGATTAATAGATATGTTTTCATTTGTTTGAGTTTGACAATCAATCAATTGAATTACCTTCTAACAAAAGCTAGGTAGCTGTCTCCTCCTGAGTCAGTTATTCTCAACAAGGCTGTTTGTGACGTCGTGGTGATCTTTGTAGTTGTTCTGTGTGTTATTAGAATTCTTGGATGATTAAGTTACATGATATGAAAGATATTAGATGAAAATGAACTAGAGAAATGAAATAAGAATCAAGCAAAACTGTGCACAAATCATCATTCCAGAAAGACAATAGATTATAAAACATAGAAAACATAGGAGGTTCATATTCCTTCTGAGAACATCTAGATGCTTTGGTTAGTATATCAAATATCAGCTATTTCTAATTCTCAAAAAAATTCTTCCTTCTACATAATTTCCTTGACACTTTACCAGGAATGATTTCCAATCCTTAACACTATGTCATTATACTTTTCTCTCTTTTGCTGTTTTGCCAGTATGATTTTAGAAGTTCATGTAAGAAGGACGTACAAAATCAAAGTGCTTTGTGTGTTGAATGTTCTTCAGTTTGGCCTATCTTACTTAAACCAGGGAAATGCAATTGGATACCATGACTCTAACCGACAAAACTTGACCTGACTGACGTAAAATTTAAATTCAGGCTGTAAATAAGGGGGCTCAAGTTGAAATATTTACAGCCCTTTCTTAAAAAATTGGGGAAAGTTTTTTACGGTACCATGCTGTAAAAACTTCTCCCAATTCGTAAAAAAAATCTTTCGGATCTCCTTCTGGGCAGTAAATTCACGCAAATTTGCTACTTATAGAAATTTGGGAAAAGTTTTTCACGATACAAGTGGTAAAAAATTGGACTTGAGCCCCCCTAATGAAGACAAATTTGTCGATGAACCACTTTACATGCGACCTTGTCTGATACCCGAAGAAATCTAATCGAGCATAAACGAGTATGGTGCCTACTAAAAGATTCAGGACGGGAATTTACGTCGTCAAGGCATTGATTGTTGTTTTTTTACAAAAGGTATGGATTGCAATGGACATCTGATGTACCTCATTGAAAACATAGGAAACCCAGGACTTGTTACCGATGATTTGTGGTTAAGTGAACTCATTCAGTTGGAATACATGACACAGACTTCTATAACTCGTGGAGCCTCCCCGATATGAAACCGGAGGATGTGTGTATAATCAACTTCTTGCTGGATTGGGCATATAAGTGGCCAAACAACATTTTTCGTATTGGACGTTCTCCAACAAGGAAAAAAGGATTGTGTTGGCATTTGAAGGCTTGACACACATGGCAATTCAAGGTGCTCATTGACAAATGTGATCATTAGAGTTGACAATATAGTAGCGCAAAATAAAGGTTTCAAGTATTCAAGAAAATAGGGGATGGGGAGAGAGAGATTTGAGCAGCAATGGTCCGGGGAACGATGTGAATCAACTAAGGGCATAATTGTGTGATTGCAAAACAATATAGCCATAGAGACAAAGGCAAGAAAAGATTCACAAGGATCAAAGTTGTAAAGAAGAAAGGTTGAAGTGTAAAAACATTCATGAGGTGTAGATCTCATATAAATAATATGTTAACATTGATATTGTTATAAGTAGCGACTAACGACGTCCTATTGAATTGTAACTCATGCTGGAGATTGAAGGGCGCTCAAGACTTGGTCCATTCCGTATCCTAAAGAGTGAAAGAATTGTGGCATGTTTTGACCACCGAGCATTCCAGTGACTTGGCTATACAAATCGGGCACCAACGTTCCAATGGCTGAAACGCAGTTTGAAAGACTGCCAGAAACTTGATTCAATGTGTCTGTGAGAAGGATAAAATCAGTAAGTGGAGTCCTGAGAAAAAGATGAAGCGCACATACCGCTACAAGTGCTATGAATTACGCTGAATTGGCGGCCAGTTGTCCCGATTTGCTTGAGGCAAGTTTTGAGCAATACCATTATTTGATAAACTAATTGAGCGATTTGCGCCTGCGATGCCAAAGACAATTAGCAAACCATCCAAGCTAATCATTAGTCGCTGCGCTACGTACACATGAAGTATTTACTCCTGGTACAGCACTAGGAGTCGGTTCGTCAGGGCATCCTTTGATCCTGGCAACGCAAGAAACCAAAAGTGCCAAGATTGCCTGCAATTCAGCCACAATCTTCCATGCGGTCTGTTGAGCGTTCTCTTGGGTCGTAGCAGCACAAAGGCTTTGAATGTTTGCAACTCGTGCTTGTATTCCGGAGTGGCAGTCGGTGAGATATTGGTAGATCTTGTTTCGCAGGGAGGCGCTTGAGTCTGACTGACGTCGAAAGCGACGCGATTCACTGTCGCCATTGGCTGATGTAGGGGTAGGCTCGGGCGAGCGTTTTTCGTGCGATCGCTCTAACAACTGCCTCTTTGATACCTGAAGATGACTAATGGGTTGACAGACAAGGGTTAGTTGGAGAAAACGTGGAGCTCGTGATAAACGACAGCAAACCTGAACTTAGAGCCCTTGTGTGCAGATCTTCGTAAAACGGAAGGTCCATTGGGAAAAGTTTTAGCCTGTGCGAAACAGACGACTGTTGGGAAAGATATGGGTTAGTCGTGGTCTACGATGCGTCGTGAGGACAGGATGGACTGACACGAGGCGATAGCGAAAACGAGGAAGGCGGAGAATTGCATGACGAAGATTGTATAAACGAATGTGCTCAAAAGAAAAGGACTCAAAGGGTGAAATTGGGGGTGTTGTATATGTATATGAGGAACGATGGGATGAAAAGGAGCTATGAAGTTGGGGAGATTCGTGCAGCTTTATGAATTGTGAATTATGTATGTGGTTAGAAAAAGGCTGGCTGCCTAGGAGAAAAACGATGTATATGTAATTGATGATGTAGTGTGAGAAAGGAAATTGTCACCGAGGGTTTAATAAAAGAACTTGGGATTGGATGACAGTATGAGAGAATGGATGCAATGGGCAATGAAATACAAATGTCGGTGCGTAGCGGTGCGTACGAAGCTTATAAAGAAGAGGTTGGGATGGTGGTTCATGAATCATGAACGGTGTCGCGGCTGTATCCTTGATGTGCTCTCACCAGCTCACTGCAAAGATCGCACGAGTTGTCTGCTGCCGATGGACCATAATGGTCCATGCAAATTCCAAACTCTATGTATCATCTGTGAGATGCAGAGTCCGGAGCAGACCTGCCTGGATTAGTCCACCATTCGGTCAGATACAAAGTGCGTCTGGCTATCCTGGGTTGAGTGATCGCGTCAAAACGTAAGTTGATTCCATTCTGTACTTGAAATTAGCTGCGAGCAATGGTCACCGTTTCAAGTTCTAGGCAAATGTGTCATCCAGCTCTCAACTGAGTCAAGAAACGCTGATCAGGTTCATTTCAACTGGGGTTCAAGCGTCATGAGTGCGCGCGATTCCTGAATTTACAAAGGGCTTGAGGCGGGCTGGAGAGCGATGTTGTCGGGCCCCACCTGCGCTGACTGGATTGGCACACAATCGGGCAAGTCTCAACTATTCACGAGAAGGGTTCAAGTCCGCCATTTTGGCCAGATGCTCATAATCTAATGGAGTTCCTCCAAATATTCGATAAACAAAATCTCTGTTTCGTCGTTGAATCAACACACGCGATTCAAACGGGACGAAAGTTGTCACGTTCAATTGGCGTTTAACAAGAACCGTGGTTTGCCGTAGGTGACCAAATGCAATTAATCCTGCCTAGCATTTGTAGCATCAGGCAAGTTGGACGAGAGATGTCAACAATAGCTAGTCTTACCTTTGCGGACAGATCAGATTTCGACAAAAGGTAACGTATGATCTCGAAGAGAGTAGCTCGCTACCCGTGTCGACTAATGAATATTCGGGTGAGGAAAGATACAGGTCCCTCTTCAGATGTTCCGTTCCTTTCCAGATACAAAGTCTGATATAAATGCGGTAGGGAATTTGATTGCATTATCTTTAAACATATACCAACTAGCGCGTCTTATTCGAGATTCTGTTCTCCGCCGTCCCGCTCTACAGCGATATCTTATCTTTGTATCACCTACTAATATATCGATGAAGTAGCAATCTCTGGGTCACAAAGGTTCAAGGAGCTTTTCCATTTGCAGAAATCATCCTGCAGGCTTGGTGCTGTCGTGCATCCATATGTTCCAGGCTGAAATTATTTCGATTTTTTTCCTTCCCTCGCTCGCGGTATTGCAAGAGCTGACTGTGTTAAGTTAATTCTGTGTATGATGTCTTGAGTTAAGTAATTCTGTGCATAAGGGTGGAAATTGCTTCAGTCACGTCTGTAGTGCAACAGGAAGTGGGTGGCTGCTTGCGCGGTTTGGTATACAGAGCAATGGTTCGATTTGGTTGAGAGGTCACCGCCGCATGAAAGTTCCTGACAAGGCAACTGCGTCGGAAAGCATTCCCGTTGCGGTGTTACAATTTCGAGCTCCCGATTAAAATCTAAATCGGCTGGCATATAGGTGAGCCAAGATCATCTACAGTCAATTTCACAAAGCTTGGAAAGAATTCCACTCCAATTTGCCCAAGTTTGGCGGGCAAAAGTTTCCAAGCTTTCTGCAATCGACTGTACATCATGTTTGGTAAAATCAAAATACATATCTTATAGGCCTTCGCTGCTTCCATAGGTGCGGTCTATTTGACTGACATTGTATTGGCTTGACTAACTTCCTTTCAGTCGGCATTTCATATAGAGTCCCCAGCTGGTAGCAAATGAGGCTAGGTGAAATGAATGAGTCCTTGACCGAATGTCCCGTCTTGTCCGCGCCCTCCAAAGAGGGGTCTCTCATAACCTCATACACCACAAGGACATGCTGATGTCCTAGGGACATCAGGATTTTTTGCAGGGGAAGGGATATCCTGACGAAACTGATCCAAGGAGCCCGGGTCGGAATCAAAATTTGGGACATCCCACGGGCTTCCAAGGGTGTTCTTATTTAAACGTAGGCCCAACCTGGCATCCTGAGTGTGTGCTGCGGACGTCCGCACGCACTGACATCCAGAGGACAGCCCAAACGGGGGTGCCGACGGAAGCATATGATCTCGGACAATCCCGACGTCCTTCCGCTCAAAAGCGTCTTCGTGGTGTAACCTCATAACTTCCTTGACTTTAGAATCATCTTTGCGCGTGCGGGGTGTCTATGCAGAGGCTAAAGCCAAGCTTGAATTTTGCGCCTCCATGCGCGATAAAGTCAAACCGACAGAATCTCAATCTGTAACTTAATTGGAGTTCACACATATTTCGTCTCCCAACGTCCTGATCTAAACTCATCAGAGTCCCACGCTGTCGCTCGCGACCGAGCCATGAGTTTAGTCCTGATCCATATCTGATCCTCGTCCTTCCTTGACACAGGCAAGTATTGCCTGTCAGTTTTGTAAATTTGAACAACTGCATAGGTCATGTCCTGTCATGTCACGGCTTTCTCAAATTATTTCAAACCTTTTCAAACTATGTACATACTTATGAATGGTACAGGTGCCCAAAGGAACGACGGCACCTGTACAGTTCCATAGAAAGAGAGATAAACGGACCATGGTAGACCCGGTACCGGACTAACTGAAGACGAACACGTAGCAGTGAGAGTTACAGATTTGAAATTCCCTCGGAAAAATCTGTAACCTCATCCTGAATAATCTCAACAAACATAACTAGAAGCTAAACCCAACTAGAAGGCAATCTCGGTTTTCATTGTGAAACTTTTTCTTTTCCTCCCACCCGCCCCTGGACCCTGCCACACAGAGAGCCTATACCGTTACGAGACCCGCAGGCCATAGGCCGCCCCCCACACACACGCTATGAAACTTGGGCAACCTAAGTAGACATAGCAAGTAGTTTAGTAACCAGTGTAGGTTTTTTTGTGTGTTAGAACAGTCAGTTGTAGTAAAAGCTAAGGAACCCAATACAAGAATAATAATTAAGTAGAAACAAGAAGAGTGGAAGGAGAACACTTAAGAAATGACAAAAGGAAAAGGATGAGAAATGAAAACCTAACATATTGATAATTGAAATGGATGTCAAATTTAATGAATGTGACACCACAGTGAGCCTACACCAGGGGGTAAACTTCCTCAGCCTCGGATCGTTCTGGAAACGTGTCCAGGAATCCTGTTGCAAGAACCAAGACAAAGCGGTTCCGGTAACGAAATGAGGAGAACCGTGTGACAATCAGTCATTTTCACTGGTTTTTGTGGGTTCAAAACGACCAAAAATCATAGTCACAGATGGTATGAAGGTTGGTCAAGACTCGGATGAGACAATACCTTGACCCAAGTGCAACCATCTGGTTGTGATGCGATGTGTTTGACCTTGTCATTCTTTGCTCGGCTGAGCTGTCAATCAATGGGTCCAGCACTCTTGAATACAGCCTGCTTTTTGGTGACTGCTACGTGATGGCAGTGTTTCTGTTCCGTAAAACCTGGACACCTCCCGGACACGTTCCAAAACAATTGAAATGTCGTAACGTGTCCGTAACGCTATCGATCCTACTTTTGGAACGTGTCACTTACCCCCTGGTGTATTGAGGCATATACAGTTGCTCCAGTCTAGTCACGTCAAAAAGGACACAACCTTGTATCCCAGATAATTGTATTGAACAAGAGAGGTATTACTTATATTTATATTTCACCACATAAAGGTTTCTGTGATCATGTTTGGCCAGGCATGTTCTTTTGAATAACTTAAATTCCTGGCTAGATTATATGTTTAAAGAAAATTGGTTAGCAAGGAAGGATCATCAGAAAGTCAGAAAGGGCTCATTAAAATCACAAATTATATAGAGTAAAAATCATTTTTTGCACCAATGGTTCCAATTGACATGATTTGCCCATTTAAGGAAATTATACACCTGCTCAAAACAACCAAGGACCAAAAAGAAGCACTGGTTTCTATAAGCTACTCCTTGGGCACAATCATTGTCACTTGAAATATAGGGGAGGTTTCCAGTATGTCCTTGCCATCTGATTGTATCTTTCTGGCTTTGGCATATCTGCCTTCCTTGCATGAGGTTCAGTGTTTTTGAGCTTAGTTACAATCATATTTGTGTTGATTGTGCAATATTCAGGCTCAATATAGCACACTGTTCTCCTTTGTCACATAACCTGCCCAGTCTTCTTGGAAATTGTGTAGAGATTTCCACAATTTCAAATCAAACCCCAGGGCCACAAGTTGATAGTAGGATTGTGATGTTTTTTCTGTTCCCCTGATTCACACAGACCCAGATCACATTTTTCAAAGAATTTGAAGAGAATGGGTAATGATTCAAAGATGCAGTTGTCACAAAAAGCCCAGAGTGACTGCTTTGAGAACTAATCAGGATACTCAATATACCCTAGCTAAGCATATGCACTTGGGCTTCTAAAAGAGTCAGAACAACTTTCCAAGTTGATCATTCAAGAGAGAACTCCCCCGACTCATTGATCACATTCTTGCAGCTCAGGTTGCTCAATTCAATCATTTACGGTACTCAAAGCTGTGCATAGTTCTGTGTGTATAGTTTTTTTGGCCCAAATATACTTTTTTTGCAACTATACAAAACCTGCGCAATTTATATTTTGGTTGACAGTTTAGCCACCAGCATCTGATCAACAAACACAGATATACATATGGGGTCCTCAAAGCTATGTAGTTTTTTTAAAAAAAGTATATTTGGGCAAAAAAAACTATACACACAAAACTACATATACACAGCTTTGAGTACCGTAATTGCAGTCTTGGCAAGGGAACTTGCATCATCGGGTATCTTACATAAGAATACCGCTTGATCGGATCATAATATGCTTATACCGCGTGATCTGATTTTTTCAATTCAAGTCGGTGCTCGGAGGTGCTCGGTGAGTCGGTTGTCTGTTACCCCGGAGGCGAAGTGATCTTATCAACATCCAGCGTTTTTTCATGGCAAATATCGGATTACCGCCGGTGGGCGATTCTTGGACAGCTTCAAACCTACGCAACGAACCAAGACATTGACCTTTTCAAACTACCCACCCGCCTTATGTGATGAGATTTCTAGGATAACGAGAGCTATGGCTCAGCTGCTTACTGGGATGAGCGCTATAGTCAAGAGCCTGCCGGAAGCCATTTCGATTGGTTTCAAAGTTATTCTGAGCTATCCGACCTTATCCAACAACACGTGCCGCTTCCCGAAGCCAAGATATGCGTTCTTGGCTGTGGTAACTCTAGTTGAGTACTACATACTGCCATGCCTGTGTCATTCACCTTCATATTGAGTGATCGTTCCGGGTACAGCTCTGTCCCAAGATATGTATGAGGCTGGTTATCACTCCGTGGTGAATGTGGACATTTCTCAAGTGTTGGTCGAGCGCATGCGCACAGAACATCCCGAAATGACGTGTATGTGACCCTCTTGTATGGACATTGGCCTACTGTGACTGAAGAGCTTGGTATAAATTTGATAGGGGTACAAGCGGATGTACGTGAGCTACCATTTGAATCTGCTTCATTTGACGTAGCTATCGATAAAGGTAGTGTAACTCCTCTGGTCTATAACAATCTTTTGCCACTTTTCCTCGCTAACGAGCCGCTTGGCATGTTAGGCACGATGGATGCACTGATGTGCTCGAAGGGCGACGTCTGGGTAAATGATGTTTCCACACGTTTTCCCTTGGATTTCCTACCTTCTTATATCCCTGATCTTTCCAGGAGCCTTCTGCGGAAGTGATCGAAAATTGCAAAAGGGAGGTCGATGAAGTAATGCGGTATGTATCCGATTCCATGATATGCCCGATTCAGCGAAGGGATTCCGATATCATTGGTAACTGAAATTCATGAATGGGTAGGATCTTAAAACCAGGGGGTGTGTTCCTATACATCACCTTCGGTCAACCCCACTTCCGCAAACGACACCTAGAAAGGCCGGGTATCTGGTCAGTCGAAACTACCGAGCTAGGAAACATGTTCCACTATTATTTCTATTCCATGAGAAAAAAGGAATCCGGTGGTACTGTGCCATGAGCTCAAAACATAGCTTCCACCCCTGTGTAGCAATCTCCGTGTGAATGACTCATGTTGAATGAAAGCTGCTCAATGTCAACACCTGTCAGGAGGGTTAAGCTGCTCGCTGATGTTTTTGCTTGGAGAGAATGATACTAAAAATTGCATATCAAGAGAAACAACAAAGACTAAGGCTGACTGAGAAAACACATGAAGTCACAAATATAGCTTCGAACAGCCAGGGGAGTTGTAGTTGCGCAAATCCTACAGTCATCACGATCGGCCTTGAAAGAGGCGCGTAGAAACCAAGAGAAAAATAGAGCGAATGTGCGGTGTGCTGATCAGATCGGAACCTTTCGTTGTGCTGTACAAGCTTGCAGAAAGGGGCGTTGAGACCTTATCAAGGCTAGGGCTCATTTGGGGAAAGTGGAAGACTTGGTTAGAGAAGTATTCTACAACCCGTGTATTCAAAGCATTCTCCTCCGACGAAGAGGTCGGCCTTGTTGCCCAAGGTAATACCCGCTTTCGGCGGAGAATACGACCTATCAAAAAAGGTTCAAAGTATCAGGAAACCAGGTAAGTGAATCAATTGAAGTCCACCGAAACCAAAGAAGGTAGGAAGTCTTGACTTACACATTTGCCTTCCAGACATCCGACACCGGCAGCCCCAGTGATAGAAAGGCAATTCTCACCTTCTCCCTTCGTGACACATCCGCCGCAACTTGCCAGCTCGAGGTTGGTCTGTCAGTAGGGGACACCAGTAAAGGAAGAGTAGCGGTGTTAGCAACTGAATACCAAGGATGAAATCACGGCAATCAGGTGAGTTCTAAGTGGAATGCTCTGATTTACATCGATACATTCAAATCCCAAGGAAAGATGCGAGATGGGACATGCTGTTTCGTTGTTAGCTATCGCAAGTGACGATATACGAGAACCGGCAGGGGCCGTGGAGTGACACAATCGCAGTTCAGCTACCAAACGCGGACCTTGATGACGACAAGTGGTGAAATGCAACTTACGACAGGCAGGAACTTGTTCTCCATATAGACTACGCCTGAGCTTTCGATTGGAGCTGCCACTCGGTTGGGGAGAAGGAGGTTGCCAGTCCCAAATACCGTCACAGCTGGACACGCACTTGGTATATATAGTCTAAGTTGAGAAGTTTTTAGAAGTTCAAAACAAATGAGAAACAGCCAGTTCACATGTAGAGGAAAGACTTGCCTGACATGCTTGTACGGTTCTTGAGTAGGCGTTTGTGTTTGACTGGACGTCAGAGTGCTCTTGGATTTCTTTGAGAATATTGCCGCAATCTGACAGTCGGGATTTTATCGTTGAACTTAAGCTATTTTCAGACGCCAACCACGGTCGGTTAATATAAGTGGTTGAAATCTGTTGCCAAGATGATTGAGCGAAGTCTAAGGCGTCTTTGGCTTCTGAACATTTTTTTTGGATCTCAGAATGTCTATGCGAAAAAAAGATGTCGATTAGACAAATGGACACAATCTCAGCGAGAGTCGGCGTCTGGGAATGAGTTTGCTGAGGTCAGACCGTATTTAAATCTTGGGGAGTCCTTTGTAAAAGGATGTTTCACAAAGATAACCCTCTGAGAGGGACCAAGGACAAACGAAAAGACATGATGCAGGTGCAAAACATAGATCTTACCCACTGCTGCTCGCGATAGCTTGCACGTCCCCAATGTGTTGGTAAAGCTCGGACATCTGACTGTTAACGCTATCGAAATTAGCTTTATAAGACTTCGCCATTGCGTTTGCCATGAGACTGCCGATGAAGACAGCCACAATTGTGTATCGGTTCATATCTTGATAGGAGGATTATTGTCAGTATGATGACTCGTTGATATGGTTCTTTTCGTAATGACAATCCATAGTTAATGAAAAACGCCAGTGATAAGTATGGACACTGACCGTCGTAAAAAGCGAGTGTTGCGAGGAGAAGTATGGAGCTTTTATTTCCCAGTTCGGTTTGCTGTAGGCTGAAGATGATATTGGTGCTGGTTGATTCGCGTCGGTTAAATAGTAGAGATTTTCAAGACCTGCGGAAGGGTTCACCCCAAGAAAATTGAGAAAATAGCACATGTGCGTAACAAATAAGGATGAGCAAATGGAGCAAATAAAGCGCTTGAAGACGGAGCTTACAAAGATTAGCTGATTTGTGGATCTCAGCCCAGGGGGGTGACCCACGTGGGACCAAGGGTGTAGTATATTGGAATTATTATCGGGAGTTGATATTAAAGGTTACTTTGAGTAGAAGCAGAGCGTACAAGATTATTTATTATTGAGAGAAATCAGCAAATTTCAGGGTCACAAAGAAGGGGAGGGAGGTGAGGCGATGGGGCAGTCAGTCCTAGAGGAAGGTCTTTAAATACAAATCAGCTCTTCCAATTTCCGCAACAAACATCAACTGGGGTGTAATCCTCCAATACTCGTGGATCAGCTTCTCAAAGTTGACATACACTTTCAGAATAGTGTGTTTGTACCTCAAGAAGATTGAGACAGCACGATACTCGACATCTAGTTTGAGATCGAAGAACGTAAATCCGCTACATATTACAACCACAGCGCAACAAACCTCGCGGACAGACTGATAGATGGCTATCCATGCCGGCAGACGGTGGTAGAATGCGGTCTTGCTTGGGGAGGATTCGGTGCAAGTCACATGGTTGAATGTAAGAAACTTCTTCTCGCAAGCTTGATTATCACATTAATGTGAAATACTGAAATACACCAGTACATATGGACACTCATTCTGAATGAGGAACACACAAATTTGGACTTCTTCAAATTGCACTTCAATTGACTACCACACTCCCGTTAAGTAGGTCAAAACAACGTGAATCTCCTGATCAGAATTTGGTTCGGATACCGCGCAATTTTCTCAGATTCTCGCGCACTGCTGGCAGGTTTTCCACTTTTGAAGCAGTTCTTGACTTTATTTAGAGCGCGAGTGCCATGCTACAAGATGCCACTCGCGTGCCTATCTAAAAAAGGATCTGCCCGCATCCAGTTCAAGTCGTACCAAGTAACTTCAAAACCCATAGCTTTTAGCTGTGGCATCAGATTACAAAGCTCATGCCAACCAGCAAAGTTGGCACGCGGTGCGACTATAACCGCTCTCAAACGAGCAAAATCCTGAATATCAGACAGGGATAATATCAAATAGTGAGGAGATTTGAAGGTCTAGAAATTCGTCTGACTAATCCATAGAGGCTCATCATAGAATCGTGATAGAAGAATGGATGATGTTGTGCCTCACTGAAACTATGTGAGGCACGACAAGGAGAAACTGCGCATTTCACCAATCGCATTGCGTATGGCGTGTCAGCTAGATGAATAATCCAATTTTGAGACGAGACAAAACGTGAAAAACAACTGGTTTTCACCACGAACACCAGTAAATCTGCACCTGGTCTTTGTGTACCAAGTGACTGAGGAAAAGATGATATTAAGGGTTAGGATGCGGGTTCAGGGGGTGAAGTACAAGACCGCGGTTCATGAAACTAGATGTGTGGGAGCGCGAAAAGATATCAACAAATGTGTCACTTGTCTCGTGATCTTTTGGCACCGTTCGGAGAGATAGGCAAATGATGTTCTTCACCTCACCCGGTGGCGGTATCGAGTCATCCATCAACCAGTTCCAGTTGAGGAAACTTCATCTTTCACCATGAAGCATACCGACTCAGTGATGTAACTCGACCTGAACAGAGCTGAAAGTGTGTACCGAGAGCACTACACCCTCAAACTACACTTCATCTTTCACCATGAAGTATGTTGTATACTCGCTGAGATTGCCAGCTTGATCTTGGGTTATTTTTAAGCTTAACTAAGTCCCTCTTCCGGCCCGGCCTACTTCGCTGGCGTCCTGTATACATGTACGTACTCTTCATCATCATGATAAACCGCCGGGCTTATCGGCTTTGAGGACCTGATGTACATAATCAACACAAATGTGAACGGGCAATGTGGCACTGCGTAGGGCCCCATCGAGCTCAAGATTGTCCGCGCTGATCTGGCGTCAAGAAGAGCAATTTAGTCGATTGCAGGGCAAAGGATGGGCTCACCCGCAGCAAACGATGCCAAGCAAGTCTTGCGATGCTCGACGGAAAGTGGCCTTCTATCTTAAAAGTATATAAAACTCAATTCTTATCGCAGGAATAACTTCGAGAGCAAGTGCCAAATGCTTTTAGCTTTCTCATGCACATCCCCGCTCTGCCACCTTGCAATCAATCGGATTTGAGCAGCAGAGAATCAGAATACATATAAAACTATGATATCCAAAAAGTTGCCGAGGAAGCCCGGTTCTGAGACAGGCAAGGACCTGCAAGGACCTGCATATTAAAATAGTTATAGAAATGTACAGTCAAACCGGAAAAGCTTGCCACCAATTCCCCGCCAATTTGCTCGAGTTTTGCGGGCAAAATCGGTCAAGCTTTTCCGGTTTGACTGTAGTATGATTTCTCATTCGATGAGGCCTGCCTGCTCTCTTCTAACACTGCGAATATAATGTATTTTTCCGAGGTGAAAAATGATTACATTTATTTCACAAAATGATTAAAAATGCATTAATTCTGCATTAATTCTGCATTTTTCTGCATTAATTCTGCATTATTAATCATTTTGTGCATTAATGTCAATCATTTTTCACCTGGGAAAAATACATTATTTTTGCAGTGTAAATAGATGGGCGCTACATACAGTTGTTATCACCAAAGCTCTCTGACTGGTTTGGCCGGGGCCGGCCCCGGTCCGACTGGTCAGGGGGTTCCAATAACACCTAATTTCGCCAAAACAATCAAAAATTTGGGGGTTTTCACCAATTTTGACCAAACTTTTGTATTTTTTGTGGGTTTTTATGCTATAAATCTGACTTAACTATGATGTTAAGTACATAGCTAGTTATGTAAAGCCATGAAATCTGCCTGTATTAGGCTTGCATCAGGCTCAAATCAGCCCGCGGTCCGACTGGTTGGGGTCTTAGATCAATTTCTTTTTGCAAAAGTGGCTGTACAGGTTCATGAGTACCATTTCTTGGTTCCTCTACACCTGAACAGTCCAAAAATGGGCTTTTCAAGAAACATCATGGCATAAAAAATACCAAAGTACCGGGTCAACTGCCCCAATTGTTCTTGCAGGGAGCCAGTCAGAGGGCTTTGGTGATAACAACTGTAACCTCATCATCGTGAGGCGCGGGACGGACTTTGACAAGTTTAGGCGCTAGAAGTCTTTCAGGAGCAGATGAAATTTGATCTTGTACCTAGACCGAACGAAGCACGCCGAACACAATATCCGTCTCGTAAGATTCCATTGACCAGATGCGTGTTGGCAGGCATCATGCCAATCGCGATGTTGGTCAATTGCACCAAAACAAAGCTTGTCCTGAAAGACTGGAAAAACGCCCACGGGGTTGATGACATAAGGGACCTCGCTCTCAATGAACGTATTCAGATACGCGGTTCAGAGCAATCAAGATTAATTTCCATGGTCAAATCTGGAATTTGGGAAACAATAATGAAAAGAAGACAATCTTATCTTAAAAGTAAGAGGATGCAATCCCAACTCGCCACTTTCGGTACTCCCGGTGTTTGCTGCCTCTCTGGTCAGTTACGTTTTGGAGACCCATGATATATATATTTGCTTCCCATTGCTTTTTACTCTCTTTTATCTCAATTCAACTTTTCTTCCTGATTCAAAAAAATGATACAAATTTCCATCCTGATTGAAAAGAACCATGCAACTTTTCATCACAATTCAAAATAACCATACATTTTCTGTTGTTAATAGTGATACCATCATTTATAGAGGCATTTAGCACACTGGAGGTGTCTGTGATGGCTTGCTTACAGGTCCATGTTGATTAATCTTCTAGTATCCATTGTATCTACCTTTAAATGTGTTTCATGTGTTCACAGTGTCATTTTACTAGGCACTGGCAGACCAGTGAGTATCATTACCTCAAGCCAATATCAAGCCAATATCAAAACAATACCACAACAATATCAAGCCAATATCATTTGTCATGTTTGGCCTTGAATAGCAGTCAAAAGATCATCCAGACTGAACTTGAATAAAACTAGCCAATTGGGTTGTGGGCGCTGTCATGTCATGTTTTGATCTTACTAAGAATTCCAGATGTTTTGAATGCTATGGAAATCTACAGGTGAATATCATTTAAGTTGAGCAATTTAGGATGCTGAGAAAAGCAAAGGAAATAAGTACTGATTTGATACATTTCCAAAAGGAACAGTACTTAATCAAGTATGGACATATTTATACTTGCAATAGGGGATTACCACATTTTCAAAATGCTTGAGCTTATGACCCTTCCAGAAGGAAAACCCCAGAGTGGACTGCAATGGGCCTATATATTGACTCAAAACCCAGATAGCCCCTGTCATCCTTGTTACTTGGACAAATCATTGATTGCAGCATAATAATTACACCACAATGGACTTTTGCCCAGATTGCACAGGTGTGACTATTGGCTGGGCTTATCCAAGAACCAATGCCATCTTTACTTCACCGATCCACTCTCTGAATTTTTAAACAGAGCCTGAGAAAAAAGGAAATAAATCAAGTGAAGATTCAATGTAGCAGATTTGTATGTTCAACAGAGTGTTTCAGGCCCATCATGTCACAGTATACCATCAACAGTGCCAATCTTTTTTCTCCAGAAATTGGTTGTCTTGACTTGTCCATGATTTAATATGTCATAGCTTTCTCTTTATTGTGATTTGAATGCCTCTACAATATTTTTCATATGTATTTTGTAAGCTAGAAATACACCATTGTTGCATTAAATTTTGTTTTGCAAAAGCAACCAACTTGCTAACTATTGAGCCATGTACATTATAAGGGTGGTCCAAGAAAGGCTTTTACAGCCCTTTTCTATATTTTACGTTTTGTTTGGGCTCTACAAATTCTGCTCCTTGTTGTCAATTCATTGGTACCCCTTTCTGACAATGACAAACACAAACATCTGTACTGTTTATCTCTGGACTTGCTGAACACCTGGTTGCTATATGACAAGCATGGAGGTTATCATGTCATTGGGTTCAGCAAGTTCATTGGGCAGCTATCCGTCATCAAGAACAAAAAAGGTGCTTTTGATATTCAAAATGGAACACTCTCAACAGTTGAATTGATGAATCTGGTGAGTTTGCATTGAATGGAGTTTTTGCTTTTCACTGACCTTTGTGGTTTGACCAGGGATGTGTGCAAGGAAAAGATGAGGATGCATTGATATGGATGTATGATTGCTGCTGAACCATTATAGGATTTTGCAGATGGTCTGACCTAATTGCACTTGGGTATCCTTCCTTTTTGTTTGAACACTCTTGATTTGTAGATG